GCGCCGCTACCGGCGCGCGCGGTGCGTCCAATCGCAGGCTCCGTTTGCTCCTAGCAGCGTCGTCCTCAAAGCGCGCCACAATGATCGAAAGTACACCGCGTCGGATCCGTTAATCATTTTTAATTTTTGCATTCAGCCAGACCCCCGGGAGAAGGAAGGATAAATATTTTTACCGCCTACAGTACTATCTCCCACGTATTTTTCTAAGGCAAATCGACAAACATTCAACAACAGTTTCAATCTTGAATTACTTCGTTATAAAGTGCCTCCGCGCAGCGCGCACAACCCGCAAGAACATTTTTAATTAATTACTGCGTTTCCATTAACCGCTATCGCATCCGTCCAAAGTAAACGAAATATTGTACGGCGGTATGGGTGAAGACTACCAGTATAATTACAGAATTACTCAATTTATGAAATCAAATTTCCACTTATCACAGTAGCAAGAATTTAATTAAAAACCTTTTGTCAAATTATCTCTTTGTTTTATATAATTTATTTTTATTCGTTACCTTCATTGCACTAGAAAAATTAAGTGTTTAAGATATTAAAATATTTTATTTTTATCTCTCCATTTTCTAAACACTTAAAACAATAACGTCTTTAAGTGTTTAAAAAATGGAGACAAGAATACATTTTAATATCTTCTCTTAATATCTAAAACATTTTAATATTTCAAAATTAAACACTTCTTTCTTGAGTGTGATAGCTTCTATCTGTTCCCATCGATTATTTACTATCTGTGCATCCAAAATTTGACAACAACGTGGTCGAGCTGTATATATGCAATAGCGAACGTACTGACGGATACGTGATGCTATCCCTCGGGCAATATCCAAGATGAGATTGCTCTAACGCGTATTAACGCTTCTAATTTATGCGCGTCCATTGGCCGTGCGAGATCGTTCAAACCACACTCGGCCATCCTGCCATAGTATCGCGATCGGCCTCTCCGTGCAAACAGTTCAGCGCGTCGCTATGATCACGTTGATCAAGAGACTCAAAGGGATAGGAAACACCTAGAAACCCTCAACTATGGTACGGTATTGTCTCGGGAACGTGATTAGGTGTAACAGGTTCATTGTAACTTGTAACGAGGAACACGTAATTGCGCCTGCACTTGTTCCGTGTAATACATTTTCAAACGATTTCGCATGATCCTCAAAACGTGATGATATTAAATGTTTAACATTGATACGTAATCAAGATTTATATATTAAAATTAAAAGAGTTATTTTCTACGCGCGATAGGGGAGCAATTTGTAGCACTAATGCAACGAATGTGTCGAATATCTTGTTCGGAGAAACAATGCGGAGTAACGTGTATATTTATTGGCCCCTGGGTAGATATTGACTATGATGCTGTTTTCGCGATGGAACATTCCGCGCTAAATAACGTCTGCGCAAACAAGTTGGCAGATGAGTCCTCTTCACCATCCAATATGCGCCCTATGTTGCCACAACGTTATTGCAAAATTGGATATTTCCTTGGAAAATCACAATAATCTCTATACTAATTTTAATTTTCTATTTTACAATTATTTGTAATACGTCACCAATCTTATAATAACCGCTATTTTCATTTTTCTTTGGTTTATGTATTCCTTCACTGCTCTTCGTCTATTCTATTTCACTATATCATAATATTATATTTTATTTCATTTTATTTTATTCACCTTCGTATAATGTTTTCTTTAAATTTCTGCGCTGCCTGTCTGCAAATTTTCTTATCTTGTGCTTGCTAATTTTCTTATTTTGCTCCTTTTTAAATTTCTCTGCCAAATACTTGTCAATTTTCTTATTTTGCGTTTCTCACGCTTGAACGTTAATTATTTATTCTTTCTGTATATTCTTTCTGTATATTAGAGGGCTTGCTTCAGAACGGCAAAATATGCTTTATCTATCTGTCTATATTAACAAAATTTCTAATATCTAACAGAAAATGAGTAACTATGCAAAATATTTTTTTTCATAAATATTGTACTCTGTACGGAAAAAAAACAATTTCGTTAAAATATCTAAAAATTGAGATAGATATATACAGATCTAAAAATAATTTTATTGAACCAAAATAATGTAGGAAATTCAAGCGTGAGTAATGCTGCAAAAATTTTAACATTCTGGCAATCAATTAATTTGAACGTTCTACATAATCATTTTGATAGTCCAATAAAATTTATTTTCAGATCAGTGTCTAGCTAATTTTTAAATATTTCAGCAAAATCGTTCTTTCCGAACGTTAATCAATAAAAATGAGATACGATAATGCAGAAAATTGGAATCAACTCCCATGATGGCGTCTCTCGACTCGCATTGAAATTACGATTATCAGATGGCACAAAGGGACATGTTAGACGTGTTTAACCAGAACACCCTCGAGCGATGCGCGAAATACCCTTATCCTCAGGAAGCAATTAATCCCCATGGAACGTTTGATGTAAGAAGCAAGTAAAAGAGTAAGCTTAGAGTGTAACCCTCTCGCTGGGGCGAAGATATTGTACTCTAATTAGACGAAAGAATTTCATTCCTCGATCCAATTTCCATGGTGCGGCGCGAACGAACCGCTCTTGAATAATCGTAACTTCGCGCTTTGCCCGCGGATTACCATACTTTCCTGCAATAAGTATGGAACCTCCGTCTTCGGGGCTCGCCGCTTTATCTCGCGAATCTCATTTTTCTTGACGAAACGACCATAAACGCGTCTCTATAATCATGCTAATCGCGCGTAGGCGTCATTCGAGCGTGTTGAATTTACCCTGCGAATAAAGTGCCGTCGAGTTCGCGGCGCAGCACAGAAATTATGACTCTTTGAAAATGAGATACCGAGAAATAAGTGATAAGGGTTAAAAATAAATACTACGGAAGGATATATGTTCGCGTAAGTTTCTTTTTTGAAACGTATCGTGATTATTTGTTTCTTGCATGATACAAAATATGCATATTTGTCTTGATATTTTTTTGGAAAAGCGATATGTGACGTATAAGTGTGAGCAATCAAAAGCGATATCAAGTTACAAAATCGTTCACCCACGCAAATATGAAATAGTTAAAGGGAATGGACTATGCAAGTGACGCGTTATTTCGTTACACACTATTACCAATTGCCCGTTGTGTACGTTTCGAAAATAGCATTGGGCGTTTTTCAGCAAGAGACACAGATGACACAATGTAATACAGTGAATCATTTTATCCTTGTTGCCAATGTTAAATATTGATGAAATGATTCATTGTGTTGCACTGTTTCTCTTGTTAAAAGAACTGTTTCTCTTGTTTTCCATCTGTTAATGAATAATATCATAGATACTCGTATTTTATCTTTATGAGAATAACAGTTATCCGGGAAAAAATCTTTGATTGAGTTTTAAATATTAAAAACATCTTGTATTAATATACTGCAGATATCCTTCTACTTATTACTTCACTTTGCGAACTTACGAGCGGTATGCGCTAAGAATTATAATAGAAAAAGATGAAGATTAAACCGAGATTAAAATTAACCTACATTGATAGAAACAGACATTAACTTACTTTTTCACATAATCTTGTAATTATTACGTCCAAAATGGCTATTAATACAACTATTATTACTAAAAGAGAAAAAGAAACAATAGATTTAGTATTATACGATACTATTCGACTTACGACTAAAGTCTCAGAACGTAAACTCGTTATAAATAGAAGGATGCCTGAATTTTTATATTATTCTTGCTTAATACAGCTGACGTTTTTGTTTACACCTACTTACGTTTCTCACGCTATTTTTAGTCTCGTTTAGTTCATGATTTGAATCTAGAATTCTGTTACAATCGGAAATTTGTGCAATATCGCATTCTCCATTCTCACGATACGTTCTATAACGATCGCATACCACAATCTTGCGAATTAAAGCAATTAAAACCTGATTAAAGACCGACCATCCAGTTCTTCTCGAGTTTCGCCACCGCACTGTCGAGGCTGGGAAGGAAAAGAGAACCGCACGTCCCGTTTGATTCGCAGAAAGCGATCCGTCTTCATTACTAGCCACCACATCGTATATCCTGACAGCGATAATGGCAACGGAAATGCGCGAACGGTCCAATCGCTTATGAAAATCGCAAATAATGGCTTCTCTCTCCTGCGTGCTCAGTAACTTCATCCTCATTACTAATTACCTTCTATCATTTCGTTCTTGCTGAATTATCATAATAATACGCGTACAATATCATTCGCAGAGATTCGTTGCGTTGTCACGGATCACAAACTTATTTTATTTCGAGAATACTGCCGATTGATATCGCGGGTCTGATGAGGTGAAAAAAAAAGTATTCAGGTCAGAGTCGGAGCTATTCCTGCACCGCGCTTTTGCTTTTCTTCTCTGAATAAAATTGAAACTGACTTTAACAGGAAGTACGTGCTTAAAAAGAATTAATCCTCATCTTTAATCTTTTCCTACTCTATGTCAATAATCATTTTCCAAAGATTAATCCCGTTTCTTTTCCTTTAAGGTTTCTTTCATCGGAAACGAGTATGCGTATGTTCAGTTCGCTTTAAATAAACTCGAGAGATATTAGGCGAACCGGGCCGATTACAAATTCAAACGACTATCAAAGATCAGCGCAATAATCTCCGATATCTGAAATGAACGAGACCCACCCCCTTCCCTGAATCCCTCCTCTTGTTATCGTGATGGAAACGTCGATATTCGCACACCTGCTGCATATAATCTCTGTCAAATCCGCTTCATCCATTTGAGCGAAATGTAATCATATCTGAACAGTCTCGGTGTGTAACAATCGATCGATCGCACACGGTGAAAAGATTTGCGGTCGGTCGCTGGTCACTGTTACGGTTCGCGTCGATACCCGCAATTTAGTTTCTATTAGCGTGCGT